GGGTGTTTGTGCACGGAACCTCTGTCCAGCGTAACTCACATCACTGGTTGGGATGGGAGCCAGGGCATTATGATCTGTCCCTGGCAACCAGTTTCAGCAGTGACCAGGACGGGACACGGGCCTGAGCGTCACAGATCTACAGGTTGCCAAGAGCCCATGTGACCCAATGAGATGCTGCCTCATTATAGGGATGGCCCTGTCTTTAGAGATTACATCTTTGCTGCATGTGAGTTGTCAAGAAGTGGAGACAGGGCAGCATCTCTTTTACAATGATTCCAGAAAGATTAGAAGCAGAAAAACCTGACTGCTCTCATTTACACACAATTATTCTGTATTAATAATCCACTGGAATTTAGAACAGCTAATGCTAAGGGACAGACCTGGACAGACCTGGACAGACCTGTGGCTACAGACAAAAATAATGTGTCCTTGGTATGCAAGTCATCCTCACAGCTTCATTACAGAGTAGTAGTTTTGGCATTTTTTATTGTTTGGATGAAGTATGGTAAAGGTATTACTTAAGTTGGATTTTTTTTTAAGGCTATTACAAAAGGAAATCGGAATTATTTTGTCTATGTTTAAATGCTGGCAGATGTATATGGAGATATATTTTCTCATGCCCTTAGTGAGTGTCTCTTTTGTTTTCATTCCGCAGCCTCAGACCATTCAGCAGACGCTCCAGAGAACGATGCAGCTTTATGAGCATCAAGTCATTGGGTAAGGACAAACTAAGTAGCATATTAAAAAACAATCCTCTCAAGTACATGAAGTGTTCGACTCTGGATGCCGTTTAATATGTAATGTTAATGTTCTCTCTTGTAGGACAAAAGCTTGCACCAAGAGCTGTAATTGCAGGGACATTTCTGGCCTGGATCTGCGTAAATTTTCTTTTATGGAAAATGACAACAGAGAGTGACCTTGTGACACAGAGAATAGACTTTTAAAAGCATGATACAAGTTGCATGCAGTGCATAGGAACACCTCTCCCTTGCTCTCTAAAAGCCCTTTCACTTGGCTTTGTTGGTCAATGTTAGTCTATGGGTTGGTTGATGTAAACGGACCTGTGTCTGTCTGAGTCCGTCTGGGTTGGCAGACCTGTATGGGATGAATCAGAGGTTATCAGATGTTAATGGACACTACATAGACCAAACATGGGTCCAATAAGTTCAGCTTTTTCCTCCATTGCAAGATGGTGTATATATCATTAAATGCACCTATGGCGTCCCACATAGCTCCAGGAAACCAGTAATATCATTGGTTGCTAGGAGCTGTACTGGATGCTCTGGCTGGTTTTCTGCCCAGCTCCTTGCAACCAGTGATGTAAATGGACCTGTACCTGTGCTACTCTATAGCTGCAGACACCATGGAGTAATTAATCTTCAAAGTTTGCAGCAGAAGCTCATGGAACGTTCTAACTTCTAATGTAAACACAGAGCAGATACACAGGAAAAGGGGGACCCGAGTGATAAGAGGCAACTGATATGACTTCACTGCATGAGGATGAATTGCTCAACATGACCTGCAGCTAGAAGTGAGAGAACACTCTATTGCAAATGTTATTTACAGCTTGTTAAAAATATGTAAATATTTGAATGTCAACATCCTGAACACAGTTCTACTTTAGAGTGATCTGGTCACTGTGAATAACATTTTAAAGCAAGCCATATGTGTAAACGAAAACTGGACATACCTTTTTCTGCTGCCGATGCCACCAACTGTCACTTTGATTATGAGAAATCTTCAAGTGAAGTCCCAAGAGAAACCAACACTTCCGGTCACCTGGGTCCCCTACAGTTTTCACTGGTTCCTCCTGCTGACCTTCACACCACTGCAAGATCCAGTAATGGGTGGAGGTCAGAAAGAGAAACCAGTGAGAGCTGTAGGGGGTCCTGGTTCTTCTTGGTACCCTACAGTTCTCACTGGTTCATCCTGCTGTTCTTCATATCACGGTAGGATCCAGTAACTAGTGGAGGTCAGAAAGAGGAACCAGTGAGCGCTATAGGCGGTCCTGGGTCACCTGGGTCCCCTACAGTTCTCACTAGTTCCTCCTGTTGACCTTGTCATCACTGCAGGATCCAGAATTGAGTGAAGGTCAGAAAGAGGAACCAGTGAGAGCTGCAGGTGGTCCTGGTTCTCCTGGGTCCCTTACAGTTGTTATTGGTTCCTCCTGCTGACCTTCACACCACTAGAGGATCCTGCTATGGGTGGAGGTCAGAAAGAAGAACCAGTGAGAGCTGTAGGGGGTTCTAGCTGTAAAAAAACAAGTCAAGGCAACTGGACCTGCTGTATTTTTATTGAAGACGTTTCACTGGTCATCCAACCAGCTTTCTCAATTCAGAATTGAAATACAGCAAGTTCTGTTGCCTTGACTTATTTTTCTACAGCTATACCATGACCTGGTGTATCACAAGTGACACACTGTGTCTTAGAAGACAGAATGGCAGAATGAGTCACCAAATCCAATATTTATTACATTTCCCAGAAACCCGACAATCCCAGAAATTTGGCAACAGCTTAAAGCTATCTGCAGTTAAGACTCTTACTTTGAGTAGATTTTTAAAGGCTGCCGTTTTAAATGACAGACACCCATAATCATGATCTGCCATCTGGCCTTTATGATACTTCGAAGAATCACTATGCCCACACTATAATAGTAATGATGAATGAATAGTAAAAATGTTTATGCCTATATACTTAGAAGTAACTTCAACTAAATATTTGGCCTTTGGTAAGCTTCTTTGTCACAGGTCGGCTATAACTATGAGGATGAGTGGAGATCACTCACCTCATAGTTCTACTATAACTAAATCCAGTTTTTTTGTTTTTTTGGACAGGCAGCGTATTACCTGCAATCAGTGCAATGAGTTTTGTTATGCCCTTCGATCTTTATAGCTCATTGAATTGAATACACTGTTGCTTTTTATTCTTGTTCATGAGATTTGTACTCCACAGCAGAGACATTCTGAGAGATTACCTTGATCCATGCCAAAGGAAATTGAGAACCACATGTGGCTCCTCAGCCACTGGTTCTGATCACTTCTGCTAAGGCACAAACCAGTAATTATGTTATTTCTCCCCTTTTCCTACAAAATGTGCACATGCTGTGCACGCTGTGCCTGCGACCAAATGGTTAAACACATATATAAGACTGTATTGTAAATTTCATTAACTCCTCATGAATTGGAAAATCTTATTGATTTGTCCACTCAGTGACCTACCAAATTAAGTTAAGCCTGTGCAGTCTACTTACTGCATAGAGCTGTAATCTTTTTATGTGGAAAGGAGCAGGCTGAGTTAAACCCCACTGGAAATAAATTGACAAACCTTTTGCAGGCAAAGATTAATTTAGTGAGATGAATCAGAAAATAAAAGATCACAGAAGGGTAAAAACATTAATTTTCCCGTGCATACACTCAGAGTAGAAAAGGAATTGATACAATATTTGTCTGACCTACTAAAGCTCTTCAGGTTTGAATTATGCATTCACTTACTTAAATTACTGTTCATTACTCAAGTGTTGTCCAACTTTTTTCGAGTGTATACAGAGCTGGATTAATGGAGACATTCAGGTTAGAGTAATGCATTAGCAACAACCAAAAGACAAAATGCCTAATAGATGTGATTTAAAGTCTAAAGGATTTTAATTTCAAATGCTGATGACATCACTTACAATGGATGCTGCTTCTTGATGTTTTAAAAGTTTTAACTCCCTGCAGAATCAGCTGGTCCACCAAGCACTGGCCCTAATATCCTGTTTTAGGGGGGCTCCTTTCCTTTGCAGAGTTCTATGGAGCTACCCTTGTGTTTGCTAGTAAGTTGTGTGTGTCTCCACAAACACACAGGCACAGCAAGGCAAGACACTCCTCTGTTCCCCTCAATCCTCCCTCCACCATGCTAGTAGATGGACAGTTGCTGGAGACTGTTCTGTCCATTGCGATTTTGTACTGGACAGGACGTTTAGAGAAGATGAGCAGAAAGAGCTGGAGCTGTTCGGAAACATGATAACTGTAAGTGCTTGGACAAAAACATACTTTATACAAAGAAATACTTTGCTGACAAAGGGTTTAATACTATTTAACCTCCTGCCGTCCGCCCGTTGAGAAAAAACGGACGGACGGCAGACTCGCATTTGCGGGTTGCCGTCTCCAGGTGGCATTTTTTTCCTGCTCGCGCGCACTCCTGACGAGCGCAGGAAAAACCCGTCCGTTCTGCACAGCCGTTACTGGCTGTTTCATATACAACCGATCAGTGTCTCTCTCCTTGCTGACCTCCCTCCGTACTGTGAATGCAGAAGTGATACATATTACATCACTTCCGCATTCACCTGTCAGTCATGTGTCAGATGCGTCAGCGCGTGAAAACAACAATTGCGCTACACATGTTACATATCGCCACAAACGTCGGAGTGAGAGCAATCATTTTACGGCCATCAATCACTGATAACACTAAACTGATGAGCGGTAAAAGCTTTTTCTTTGCAATAAGTTTTTATTGAACACATTTTCATATAAAGTTCAAACATACAAGAATGAGAACAAACCCCATCTAGTATAGCAGGGTAGGGGCCCGAGCCTCTACCACCACAGACGTGACATTGAACTTCGTGCATCAAAAATTGTAATCGTCAACTCCAGCGTCATAGTGCATGTAACAGTATAGCGGAGGAAACACAGACAGACACCGAAACAATAGGGGGAATAGACAAACAGAACAAAATAGGCGACCCTCGTTCTGCACACCCGTCACATAGTACATCATACAAGCATGGAGCACCGATCAAAATATTCTGGCAAAAAAGCATCGACCCATGGGTCCCAGGTTGCGTAGTAAGAGGCCATGGTGTCCTCCTGTGATGCTGTGAGTTTTTCAAAGAACATTACTTGGGACATGATCGTAAAAAACAGCCTAATGGTAAGGGCAGGTGTTTTCCAGGATGTCGCAATCACTTTCCTGGCTGCGGTAAGGATGTGGAGCAATAATTTTAATTAATGTTTGATAACTGCAGGTGGTTTTTGGTTGAAGAGAGCAAATTTAGTGCTCAGGGGCAGGTCGATGCCCAGAGCTACTCGAATTTTGGCGAAGATCTTGGTCCAGTAACAGATGACCCGTGGACAGTCCCACCAGACGTGCGGAAAGGAGCCCTCTCTGTCCCCAAAAAATGGTATAAAACTAATTTCAGTACAGCGTTGCGTGACGGAATAAATGTCAGTCAAAGTACCGCAGAGCTGAATACTGAAAAATGGCCTGGATGGGAAGGTGGTTTAACACCGCAGACTTCAAGTGGTTAAAAGGGAATTTCGTTCTACATAAGTTTAGCTTCATACAAAACAAATGTGCCTATAATAACACTGTCATTCACCTTGACATGCATACAGAATGTACCTTCTGCATATGCATGCAGAAGGTTCATGCTACCTGCTCAGTGCCTTTGTTTTTGTCCAGATTGTACCGTAGTGAATCAGTACACCCCAGTTATCTGATGATCCTGGAATAGACCTGCTTGTGATGCTGGAACACACACAACAGGTTTTTTTTCCTGCCTCTCAGATAAAGAAAGTCTGACATAAAAACAACACTTCCTTACCATTGTTTGTCATATCCCCAACCTTTCCTGTTATACAATGGGCATGCTTAGGGCACGCTGAATGCAGCAGAATAAACCTGACCAGTGTGAATAAACTCTCAAGAAGAAGGAGAGAAATCATATAAAGCATTTGGGAGGGTACAGTTATAGCAAACCACAATATGAATGGTGGGGGGGGAAAAAGTAACAGCTGGAGACATCCACATGTCACATGTCCTCTGAACCCGTAGGTGAGATGGGACCACCGGCACAAACAGCTGCAGGCTGGGGCATTCCCCTCCGGACTGCTGCACATAGGGACGGGATGCTTGTGGTGACATCATTGACCATTTGGCCATATTCGGTCAATGTCAATGAGCAAATATAGCCATGTGGTCATATAAGACCTATGATGCCTTGGCCACCAATGACCCTGTTGCCGGTTCACCATTTTTCCTTCCTTAGACTACTTATGATAGGTTCTGACCACTGCAGACCAGGAACATCCCACAAGAGCTGAAGTTTTTGCTCTGACCCAATCGTCTAGCCATCACAATTTAGCCCTTGCCAAAGTCGCTGAAATCCTTCAATTTGCCCATTGTTTCTGCTTCCAACACATCAACTTCAGGAACAAAATGTTCACTTGCTGCCTAATATATCCAGGCCACTTCCAGGTGCCATTGTAACAAGATATTCAATGTTATTCACTTCACCTCTCAGTGATTATAATGACATCAGTGTTTAAGGCAGCTGATGTCATAGGAATGCACAGCATGATTCCTATCGGCTATTTCAATTTGCAATAGCCAATAGCAAACTAGCTATTGCACCCGCCCACTGCTGCTGTCAATCAGCAGAGGGGACATGCAGTTCTCCATCAGGTCCCCTCTAGCGATTGACAGCAGCAGAGGACGGGTGCAATAGCTAGTTTGCTATTGGCTATTGCAAATTGAAATAGCCAATAGGAATCTAGCTATGCATTCCTATGCCTATTTTTTTGTTCTGATGGCAGCCAATGGCTCAGATGTCAGAAGAAGAAAAAAAAAAAGAGACAACAGAGCAGGGAAAGGTTTGCTCTGCAGAGTAAAACTTTCCAGGAGAGTTTTTTTTTTTTTGACGGCAGCAGAACTGCCTGGCAAATAGAAAACAGTTGGGCGGAGCTAGCTTTCACTGCTAGCTCCGCCCAATCATTTTCAATTTTATTTTTTACTACTTTTTTCACAGTTTTTCAATTCTACTAGGTACCACAGAGGTACCGAGCAGAACAGCCCAGCCGAATGCCGCTCGGTGGCTATTCACTCACTGCTGTTCGGCATCTATGAGAATAGGCCAAACAGCAGCTTGTAGCCTGCCGGAGGTTCGGCTTAGCCAATCCCGATGCTGGATTGGCTGAGTCGAACTCCTTCTGCACTTCGGGTCGGCCGAACATGTTGAGCATGTTCGGCCGACCCGAAGCCACCCGATGTACGACTGATTTCAGCCTATATACGGCTGGAATCAGCCTACCAGCCTGCAGTGAATAGCCGAACAGCGTTCGGCTATTCACTTCGCTTCGGGTCGGTTAGTCACTCGGCTGCCTACGGCAGCTTAGTGACTAGACCCCATAGTTTACATAGGGTGTTATTTACAAAAGGGTGAAGGGTTTGGAGAAGGCGGAAGAAGTGAACAATCTAGGACAAAATAGCTGATGTGGAAAATTCTCCAATTCAGCTCACTTTCCAGTTCAGCTATGTTGTCCTAGATTGTTCACTTCTCCTGCCTTCTCCAAACCCTTCACCCTTTCGTGAATAACCCCCATAGTATTTGAGGTTGAATATAAACATAGATCCTTTGAGTTCAACCTTTGTGAGCGTGTGTCTCTGTGTGTTCCAGCCATTAAGAGTACCTGTACCCCCCTATGTTATGGTTTTTGAGGAAGGTATCTAAATGATCTTTGAATGATTCCATACTTTCTGCTGATACCACTGCTTGTGGAAGAGAGTTCCCCAATGTTACCGCTGTAACAGGAAATAATCCAATTTTAGGTGGTGGCCTCTAGTCTTCTTTTGGAAGTTTACAGTGAACGGTTTATTACTGATATTATCATCACCATTAAACATATTGTACATCAAAATCGTGTCCCCTTTTAACCGCCTCACTTTTAGAGTGAAAAAGTTTAAATAAAAAGAAAATAAAAGATATCTCCCCAGCAGGACACAATAACCTCATACCGGTTTTAAGCCTTCCTTTCCTAAAAACAGACTTATTGCTTTACATACAGTTTAGTGCCCTAAGACATTTATAAAAAATGGTATTTATATGCATTCCTGTGCACTGACCTCTGTTCATTTACCTGCATTTTTATGTGAGTTTAACCGCTTTTATCTGCTTTTTGTATATGCGTATTTCAAAGTGTATTTCTTCTGACTGCACTACATATGTTGAAAATTTATTTTTTGGTGCATTTTAATGCACCTCACTGTACATACATACATACATACATACATACATATATACATACATACATACATACATACACATATCAACATACTATATTCCAGGAGTAGGCAACCCTGGCACTCCAGCTGTCCTGAAACTACAAATCCCTTCATGCCTCTGCCTCTGGGAGTCATGCCTATGGCTGTCAGAGTCTTGCAATGCCTCATGGGATTTTTAGTTCCAAAACAGCTGATATGCTGAGGTTGCCTACCCCTGCTATATTCATATCTGAAGCTCTGCACATCAATTGCACAGTGCCGGGTCCTCCTTAGGGCTTTGAGTAAAAAGTTATATATGTTATATATGTTATACTGAGAAATATATATGAAGTAACTGATTTTCTGCTTCCTGGGGTGAAGCTGTTACTCAAACATGTTTCTTCACTTTTCAATATTCAGCCTCCTAATGATGCAGTAAATTAGCCCTAGTGATACAAGCTGATAATTCTCCTGGTGATATACAGCAGCTTCATGTGTGAAATTATTTGCCTGAGCGCTATGTGCTAATTAGGGATTTGCTAACAATTTAATGAGGGAAAAGGCATCCAGGAGGTTAGGCACTAGCAGACGGTGGGCTCGTATCTCATTCTTTTTCTTCTGTCTTACTGTCTCCTTTTAAGCTGTCCGGATACCGAGAAGAATCTGCACAATGCCTCACTGAAATGTCCGTACGCAGGGCTCTCCGGTAAGGAAGATTTAGAAGACGTCTCAGGAATTCTGCAGCGCACAGCAAATGTTCTGGGTAGGTAGTCATCAGTCAATGACAGGGAACGTGGCATGCTTCAAAGTTAAAGCGAACTTATCCATATGGCCCCTTTAAGCTAACCTAAGTGATTCCAGCCTTCCCCTGCACAGATGCATACTTTCAGTGAGGACCATCCCTTTAATGAGGTAGCCTGAGGCTATTGCCTTAGGCGGAATTTCTTTGGGTCACGTAGGGGGCGTCAGGCAGAGCGGCATGGCTGCACAATGTTTGCAGTGTGCCTGCAGCCCCCTTTCGGGCCAAAGCTTCCCAGGTTGCTAAGAGCCGGGCAGGAAGATGTGTAAGGGCCATACACATCTCTCCAGCCAGCTCTTAGCAACCTGGGACACTCTTGCTGGCATCCTGCCGAGCTCTTGGCAACCACTGATGTCAATGGTTGCCAGGAGCTCTGCAGGACACCGGCCAGAGCATACCAGTTTGCTAAGAGCTGGGCAGGGAGATGTAGAACCCTTATACATCCCTAGCTCTCAGCAACCTGGGACGCTCTGGCTGGCATCCCGCCGAGCTCTTGGCAACCAGTGATGTCAATGGTTGCCAGGAGCTCTGCAGGACACCAACCAGAGCATCCCAGTTTGCTAAGAGCTGGGCAGGGAGATGTGGAACCTTTATACATCCCCGGCTCTTAGCAACCTGGGACACTCTGGCTGGAAAAGGGGGCGGCAGGCACACTGCAAACATTGTGCAGCTTAGCGGCATCACTCTCCACCAGCACCCCTCTTCACTGATTGTGCACCATCCAGCACCACCACCCCACCATCCCCACCACCAACCACTGGCTGTCTCAGGCGGAAAAAAGTTGAGGGGCATCATTGCTGTGACGGGCCATTCCAACAGGCTTGGCCTCATTTGTTTACATCCTGCAGGAAAAGTTTCCCTCTTCTGACCATGCTTGCGCAGTATATCCCCATTGAATTCTGTAGGGTCATCTTTATGTCAGGAAACAGAGTTAGATGAGCCCCAAAGATGTCAATAAGAATGTACTATGAGGGAGATGTTCGCAGAAGGATGTAAACAAACAATGAAGGTCGGACTTGTAGGAAAACATTCAGTACAGATCTGTGCAGGGAGAGAATGGGATAAATTAGGTCAGCTTAAGGGGCCGAAAGCATAAGTGCACTTATCTTTTAAACACACTCCAACTGCAACAAAAAAGGTGTGCAAAGTCTACTAGCAGCCACAGCCTAAGTAGTAAAGCCTGTCTCCTGCCAGCATACTGTAGAGAAGAACCCCTGCTGTCTGTGTGAATACAGTGGTGCCTCTGCAAAAGTCCTTATGCTGGGTCAGAGCTAGACCTCTACAGAGAGACCACTGCTTCCACACAAAGAGCAAGGTTCTTTCTCTACAGCATGATGGCAGGGGACAGACTTTTCTACTCAGGATGTGCCTGCTTTTTAAATAATTCTTACTGCAAAGCTGCCCATACACCTGACGATTAACGTCCGATAATCGCGGGTGATCGCGCAATCTTATGATAATCGTAAGGTGTATGGGCAGCGTGCGACTGCATTTACTGTAGGGTCGCACGACTTTTGTATTACGAGCATGCTAGGGTTGGTAGTGCGATCGCAAGACGAAAGCCGCACAGGCAGAGGTACGCAAGCGCACACTGCCCGCTCACCATTACAATCATCTTATTCTCGGCTGGTTAGAACGGTGCTCGGAAGACAAATGCCGAGCGGGCCGGTGTGCGCACGCGCACACTGCCCGTTCAGCATTGCAGTCATCGGAAGCCCGCCCCTCAGGGGGGCGGGCTTGCGATGATCGAGAGTGCGATCTGCCTGTCCAAGATAGGCAGATCGTACGTTTTTTTAATCCCTGTACAACCATCGCAAGACTAAAGTCTTGCGATGGTTGTAGAGTGTATGGCCACCTTTAGACGTTGAACACCTTTTCATTAGATGCACCTGAAATGTATTCAGCTAATTTAAACTGAAAATGTAATCGGGCTTTCAGGTAGAAGGGGATGTTTGTGCTGACCTAGGCATACATGACTATACAGGCTTCACCCCTTCCTCCCCCATTGATAAGGCACCTACTGCAGTTATATTCTGCTTTATATGCTGAGCTAGTTTTGGATTGTACAGTTTCCCCCTAAGGAGAATGCAGAGAAGCAGTGACAGCTGTGCGTGTCTTCTGATTCCTATGTAGAGATCCTGCACAGTTTTGCTGTAATGCTGAATTTGCAGATGACCAGAGATGATCAGTAAAATGCTAAATGACAGAGAAAGATAAACCCCAGCACACTGTGCTTTATTTGTACACTATCACTATGCACTTCATGCAGTTTTGTGCATGCACTGGAAAATCACACATGACTATAGGCAAAGAAAGGCTATTTTTCCCTATATAGTTATAGACCATTTTTTCCCAGGGATAGGGATGCACCATTACCGATACCGGTATTAGTATTGATGCGAGACCCTCCACAGCCATCCGCCTTCATCAGGTTGGCAACCCGGAGCAGCACAGAGTAGGTAGCAACATATTATTCTGCATTTTGCATTGCTTACATAGTTACATAGTATTTGAGGTTGAATAAAGACATATGTCCATCAAGTCCAACCTATTTGTGTATGTGTGTATGGTCCTATTGGTGTGTAGTATGTATAGGTCCCTTGTGTGTTATCAATTTTAGGAGTACTTGTACCCCTGTATATTACGGTCCCTTAGAAATCGTCCAATCACCTCTTGAATGATTCCACACTCTCAGCCGAAATCACAGCATGTGGCAGCGAGTTCCAGACCTTGACCGATCTAACTGAGAAGAACCCCCTTCGCCCCTTGTGCTGAAACTTTTTTCCCACCAATTTTAAGTGGTGGCCTCTCGTCCTTGTCATGGAGATAATTGTAAAAAGTTTGCTGCTAATGTTACTATCCCCGGTAAACATTTTATACATGAAAATCATGTCCCCCCTTAATCTCCTTACTTCCAATGAGAACATGTTTAATTTTAGAAGCCTGTTCTCATAACTCAGGTCCTCCATCCTCTTTATGATTTTGGTTGCCCTCCTCTGGACCCTCTCCAGTTCAAGGACATCCCCCCTGTTCACTGTTGCCCAAAACTGGATACTCCAGATGAGGCCGAACCAGTGATCTATAAAGTGGCACAATTACGGACTTGTCCCTGCGAAACATTCCCCTCTTAATACAGGAAAGGACTCTGCTTGCTTTGTTTACCGCAGCCTAAAACTGCAAGGTATTTTTCAGCCTGTGGTCTACAATGAGCCCCAAATCTGTTTCCCTTTCGGATTTTCTGTATAATGTATAATTTCGGAAATTGCTGTATAATGTATTGCTGGGATTTGTAGTCCTCTATATAATATAATAATTATAATATTACCATCAACAAATCTCAGCAATACATTATACAGCAATGCCGAATGGCAACCGGCTCTAGAGGACTACAAATCCCAGCACTACATTATACAGCAATGCAGAATAATACTATTCTGACTTATTTACACATTATTCCAATATTCTAAGCCTTGATAGGCTAGCAAAACATGTCAATGTTTTGTTATTCTAGCAGAAGGGTGTTACTTAGGGTGCCAAATATTGTGCACAAAGCAGTCACATCACATCAGTTCCATTATCCTGATTTATTCCTCCCGGTGACCTAAATCACATCAATGTAATGGGTGACCTCTCTGTGCAGTAGTGAGGATTGGAAAGTCAGAGGAGGAAAGTAACAGACCTGGTGGGCAGACCCTAGGTGGTGCCAGCTGTGTGCTGCCAGCTTGCATTAGGTACTCATTTTTCACTTCAAGTTGTCATCCTGATCTATATTCAGCACTGCCAGTCTGGAGTTAAAGGATGCTTTAAAAAGCAGCGTTAATCAGCTTTCTTGATATAAGAGGCTTCAAGTGTGGCCCCTGACATCGTCAAAGGGCCACACATGATATTCAGTGAATTTAATGCTACAGAAACTGCCAGGGAGTGCAGACATGCCATAGAAATTAAGTTTCTGTAGACGGGGATCATGCTTTATTGACTGGAGACTAGGGATGTACTCTGGGTTCAGGTCAGCCATGAGTTTGTAGTTTTCCAAACGATTTGCCTTGGACGTTAACGAAAACCTGATTTCTGGTTGGGTTCAGCGAATGTCCAAATGAACCCAACCCAGGCCAGTTTGGCCATCACTACCAGAGACAAATTACATGAGCCTGCTAGAAATATCTGCTATTACAACCCTTTACAAATCTGTGCTTCCATATTTGTGCAACTTCAGTGCCACAGCAAGATGTATTATAAAAGATGTATTATAAAAGATGTATTATAAAAGATGTATTATAAAAGGTTAATATGTTGCAAGACAATTTCATGGATCAGATGGTTGAGGTCCCGACTAGGAAAAATGCAATTCTAGATATGATCATCACCAACAATACGGAGTTAATTGAGGATATTATAATCGGGGAGACACTGGGTAATAGTGATCACAAGGTGGCTGCTTTTAATATTGGGTGCAAGAAAGGGAAGGGAGATGGTCGGACGAGAAGCTTAAACTTCAGGAAGACTAACTTTGATAAACTGTGCAATATAGTAGGTGAAAACCAATGGTAAACTTATTTTATAAACTAAACATTGACCAAAAGTTTCAAGAATAAATAAAAAAATGCTATTACCAGGTGTATACCGTTGGGTAACAAAAATAAAAGATCAAAAACTAAGCCAATGTGGCTAAATAAAACAGTAAAACAACACATTAAAGAAAAGAAAGTGGCATTTACTAAGTATAAAATGGAGGGGACAGTATTGGCATTTCAAAACTACAAAGAATGTAATAAAAGATTTAAACTAGTAGTCCGGGCAGCTAAAATTGAATGTGAGAAATATATCGCCACAGTTAGTAAAAAGAACCCCAAAAAATGTTTTAAATACATAAATAGTAGAAAGGAACAGATAGGCCCAATAAAGGACAAAAATGGGAGGTTAGTCACAAACGACAGGGAGAGGGCAGAGACGCTAAATACTTTTTC